AATTCTACATATTTATAGGACATTAGAAGTTTTTATCAAAACCTAGCCATGCATATGGAAGCATAAAACATATGTGAGAGTCATTAGCCACCTGTTGTAAAATGGAAAAGGGTTGAGAAATGCAGTTCCAGAGCAATAGAAAACAACTACCTCATTCACCAAACAAGTCTTTTAAATATTTGAGTTCGGTTATTATAGCTACTTTAAATCATCTCTTTTCTAATTCAAACAGTACCTTTGCCCAATTACTGTTCATTTGATGTAGTTTCAGGACATTTTACTTCTACACACTATAAAACACAGAATATATTATTACCTAAACTTTAAAGTCAATTACATTTTAAAGGGATTTTAAAACACAAGAAAAGTACTTTATATATATTATTCTATTTGACATTTCTGGTGTTCTTCATTTCTCTTAGATTCATCAATGTAGCTACACATATCCATAGTTTGTTTCTTCCTTACAAATAAATAGAAACATGTAATATGCTCATGGATAGGAAGAATTAACATCACTAAAAAGTCCATCCTATATAAAGCAATCTACAGGTTCAGTGCAATCCTTATCAAAATACCAACAGCATTTTTCAGAGAACTAGAATAATCCCAAAAACTTATATGGAACTACAAGACTCTGAATAGCCACCACAATCTGGAGAAAAAAAGAACAAAGCTGGAGGGATCACACTACCTGATATCAAACTACACTACAAGGTCATAGTAATCAAAACAGCGTGGTACTGGCATAAAACAGACACATAGATCAACGAAAAAGAATAGGAAGCCCAGAAATAAACCCATGCCTATATGGTCAATTAATCTATGACAAAGGAGGTAAGAATATACAATGGGGTAAAGACAGTCTGTTCAATAAATGGTGTTGGGAAAATATGACAGATACATGCAAAAAAATGAAACTAGACCACCTCTGATACAACATACAAGAATAAACTCAAAATTAATTTAAAGACTTAAATGTAAGACTTGAAACCATAAAACTCCTAGAAGAAAACAGGCATTAAACCCCCTGACATTTCTCTTTGTAATATTTTTTCCTGATATATGTCTTCAGGCAAGGGGAAAAAAATAGATGGGACTACATCAAACTAAAAAGTTTTTGCCATCAACAAAGCACAGCAAAGGACACCATCAACAAAGGGCAACATACTAAATGATAAAAGACATTCACCAATGATACATCCAATAAGGGATAAATATCTAAAACATAAAGAACTCATATAACTCAACACCAAAAAAATAAGCATTCTAATTTAAAAATGGGCAGAGGACCTGAAAAGACACTTCTCCAAAGAAGACATACAGATGGCCAATAGACATATGAAAAGATGCTCAACATCATTAATCATCAGAGAAATGCAAATTGAAACCACAATGAGATATCACCTTACACCCATCAGAATGGTTATCATCAATAAATCCACATACACAAAGTGTTGGTGAGGATGTGGAGAAAAGAGAACTTTGTCCACTGTTGGTTGGAATGCAGATTGGTGCAGCCATTGTGGAAAACAGTATGATGTATTACAGAATTGTACACTTGAATCCTATGTAATTTTATTAACCACTAGAGGCCCAGCGCACGAAATCATGCAGGTAGGGTCCCTAGGCCTAGCCTCCATCTTCTGCCCATTCACCAGTCCCCAGGCCGAACACCATCTCTGCTGCAGGGCTGTCAAGCCGTTGGGATCACCAGCTCATCCCCGGCTGCTCGGGGGCTCAGGCCTGCGGGAAAGCAGGTGCCGGTGATTTCACTTCCATGTGCATGCACTGGGCCAGCCGCTGAAGGAATGTGCTGCCCGCTCGGAGCCGGTCACATGGGAGCTGCCGCTGCCACCGCTGCTGGGGCTTGAGGCACTGACGGAAGCTGCAGGGCGCGCCTGTGACCTACCTGCCCCGGCATGAGGCCCCGAGCGGCCAGCATGTTCCATCAGCAGCTGGCCTGGCACACGCGCATGGAGGTGAAGTCGCTGGCGCCTGCTTTACCGCAGGCCTGAGCCCCCGAGCAGCCGGGGATGAGCTGGTGATCTCAACGGCCTGACAGCCAGCCCGGTCCTCTCGCCATTCACCCTGATTCCCCCGTTCACCATTGTTGATCCATCGCAGACAGGGGGCAGGGAGTGTTCAGCCCACTCGCCAGTCCCCAGTCCCACCTCGCCCAGCTTGCGGGCCAGGGGGGGAGGGACCGAGAGGTGGTCAATGGCACCTCATGGTGACCGGTCATTTGGTCATCACGGACACTGGCTTTTTATATATATAGATTGTTACCCCCAATAAATTTAATTAAAAATAAAATAAAATGGTTCTATCATTTAGAACTCAAGAGTTCTTTGAGAGAGTTCCAGTGACTCCACATCCTTGACACTATTTGACAAAGTCAGTCTCTTAAATTTTAGCAATTCAAGTGGGTGTGTTGTGGTGTCTTATTTGGTTTTAATTTGCATTTCCTTGATGACTAAGGTGTTGAGCATCTTTCTGTATGCACATTGGCCATTCTTATATTTTCTTTTGTGAAATTTCTGTTCAAATCTTTCCCCTATTTAAAAAAAGTTTGTCTTATTATTGGGCTAAAAAAATTCTTTACATATTCTTGATAGAAGTCTTTTGTTTTACAAAGAATTTCTGCCAAACCATGACATGCCTTTTCATTTTCCTGCTTTTTTAAAAAAAAAAAGAGCGTAAGTTTTTAATTTTGATGGTGTCTAAACTAACAATTTTCCTCTGATTTTTTTTGTGCTTTTTGAATCCTATTTAAAACATTTTACCTAACTCAAAGTCAATAAGATTTTTCTCCTATGCTTTCTTCTAGAAGTTCCAATGTTTTAGTTCTTAATTTTAGGTGTATAACCTATTTTTAGTTAAATTCTATATATTGTATGCAATAAGGTTTGTAGTTATTTTGTGTGGGGGGAGAGTGGGAGCAAGATATGGAAATCTACTTGTTCTAGCAACATCTGTTGTAAAGATTATCATTTCTTAACCAGTTTCCCTTGCTAGCTTTGTCAAAAATCAATTGACAATATTTATGTATGGCCTTATTTCTAGATTTTCTTATTCTCTTCCTTTCACCTATATTTCTACTTTGAATACAATACCACAATGTCTTGGTTAATAAGTCTTAAAATCGGGTAGAATAAGTCCTCCAACTTTGTTCTTTTTCTAAATTGTTCTGACTATTCTAGGTCCCTTGCATTTCCATATATATTTTAGGATTAGCTTAATTATTATTTAAAAAAAGTATGTCAAAACTTTGGGATAGCATTGAATGTATAGATCAATTTGAGTCCATGTCCAATAGCATTTCTGTCTATTTGATTTCTCCTCTTTTTTTAAAAAAATATATTTTATTGATTTCAGAGAGGAAGGGAAAGGGAGAGATAGAAACATCAATGATGGGAGAGAATCATTGGCTGCCTCCTGCACGCCCCCCACTGGGGATGGAGCCCACAATCTGGGCATGTGCCCTTGACCAGAATCGAACCTGGGACCCTTCAGTCCGCAGTCCGATGCTCTATCCGCTCAGCTAAACTGGCTAGGGCTGATTTCTCTTCTTTAATTGCTCTCAGCAATGTTTTGTTGCTTTCAGGTTATTGCACATCTTTCTTCAAATTTATCCCTGAGGGCTTTATTTTATGCTTTTGTATATGGTGTTTAAAGTTTTTCTATTTCTGATATTTCATTGTTACTATAGAAAAATATAATTAAATTTATATGTTGATCTTGTATCCTGTAACATTGCCAAATTTACTTTTTAGTTCTGGTAAACTTTTTGAAGATTCCTTAACATTTTGTACATAAACAATGATGTCCTCTATAAAGAAAAGTACATCTTCAAGTAACATGTTGACGAAGCTTAAAACAGGACTCTTCAATTTCCCACTCTCACCCTTTATGCTAAATTATGATAACTGTGAATGTTTAAGATTGTCAATTTCTATACATGTTATAAAACACAGAATATAGCCCTAGCCAGTGTGGCTCAGTTGGTTAAGCACTGTCCCATGCACCAAAAGGTTGCCGGTTTGATTCCCAGTCAGGGCACATGCCCAGGTTGCAGACTCACTCTCCAGAGTTGATGTTTCTCTCCCTTCCCCACTCCCTCCTTCCTTCTTTCTCTCTAAAATAAGCAATAAAAAAAACACAGAATAAATTATTATTTAAACTTCAAAGCCAGTTATATTTTAAGGAAATTTTTAAAAGATAAGTATTTTATATATAATACTATATTAACCATTTCTTGTGCTCTCCATCTCCTTGTGTAGATCCAAATCTCTAAGTAGTGTCATTTTCCTCCTGCCTGAAGAGCTTCTTTTTAACATGGCTGCAAGTAGAAGTTTTGCTTGTTGCTTTTTAACAAACTCAGGGCCACAGTCTGTAGTCACACAAGTAATACACTGTATAACCTCAGAACACAATGAAAATTCACTTCTCTCTTTATCCCTACCTACATTTGCGTAAAATGGTATCCCTAATCACATTGACTATTTATACTGAGCTTGTGGTCAATCAACCTCACATTTGGGTAAGAATAGTAACACAATTGACAATTCCTAATTTATAAACGTTATGATCTCATTGATTGGCATTTGAATAAGCCTTCTGATCAAATCAATATCATAAATGATTAGTTGGTTTCCATAACATAATTGAAGCATAATGCATACAGTAATCAATTAAAAATACTCAAGTGCCATTTATAACAGTTCTTATGGGAAGACACTATAGAAATTCTAACCAGAGATTCCAAGAACATATTCCCTCATTTGTTAGTTTAGAGTATACAAGCATATGGAAGAGGGTGGGAGATTAATGGTCAAGATTATAAAATTTCAGATGGGGATGAGATAGATACTAATTTGTAAAGTGTATGTTAACATTGCACCAGATCTCATTTTACCCCTCTAAAGGTATATTACAGAGGATCCCTATAGTTAATATAAAGCCTGACCTATGATGATAGCAAAATGAAATGTACTTACTCATCCAACTCCTCTTCTTCAGTTTTAGAACTATCAGCATAGAGGTACTTGCTCATGTCCACAGGTCTTATATTTTTTCTTTTTGTTGATTGGGGAGGAGAATCCTTTATAGTTTCAAAGGTTTCTGGTTCACCAAATGGGTTTAAATACTGTGGAGTTTGTATCTCTTTGAAGAGATTATAGCTGTTATTATAAAAAGATTCTTCTGGTTTTTTAGGTGATACTGTTTCAGTGGTTGGTTCTATAAAACAATAGCAACAGATGAATTAAGTCCAATTAATTCTATCTGACATTTTCTCACATTTTTATGCTTTCAAAAATACTCAATATTGAATGGAACTGAAAGAGGCAAAGTACTAGCACATTTCAGAGGGGCTAGATTCAGAAGGTGTAATATCTAAGATCTTTGTCTACTTTTCCAGGAATGGTAAACCCCAAAATGTCATCTTTGGAATGCCTTTGAAGTCTCTAATAATATTATATAAATGACAATTTTGGAAATTTTAACTTTCTTAAAGGAATAATATTCTATTATTGCTTATTTTATTTCATAAACTAGCTTGCAATCTCAAACTGATACATAATAAGTTTCTGCTTTTAAAAGACCATAAAATGGATTAAATTTTGAAATGGTCTTTGGTTAGTTACACAAGCAAAAACCACTTAGGGAACTGAAGCACAGAATATCATGAATATAAGAAAACTGAAGCTGTAAAAGCAAATAATAATACACCATCTTAACAACTGTAACACATTTTTATCTTCCCCAAATGCTTTTTTTTTTACTGCAGGAAGCAAGTTTTTAATCCATAAAATTAATTCCAGAAAGAGATGTATATTTAAAGAGAAATACTGGTTGTCACATTTTTTCTTAGCTCTATAAACATGAGTAAAGATTCTGAGTCGGGCTGGCTAACCTCTCCTATATAGAAATACGGTATCACATGATATCTGCTATTCCTTTCTATTCCTCAGAAAATAGGCATACATATATTTAGAAAACTTACTTATTCTATTTTGAAATGGAAAGCTCAAATACTGATGTCTCAAAATATCTTGTTAATATTTTTAAAACTCGATATACTCAGATGTATATAATAATCAAGGAGAAGCTGTATAGTCAAAAGAAGACTCTTGATTAGGAATCTTAGCTCTAACTCCATCTCCATTTACCTAGAGTTCTTGTTCAAATCACTTAATTCTCCTGGGCCTCAGCTTCCTAATCTATGAAAGTACGCAGCTGAACTAGATCACCTCTAAGATTTATTGTAACTTTTAAGATTTAAAATATGTTCTTAATATAACTAGCTCACAAAATAAAATACAATTAATTTAAACTTACTAGTTTAGAATCTGATAAGAAGGGAGAAAGTAAAGGAAAAGAAAGAGAAGTGGATTATTAAATAATATTGCTCTAACGGAGTGAATCCTGAAGTTAAAACCTCATTTTCACCATGACTAGTGGCAGCAAAATTCTTTACAGCTCAGGAAGATTTCCTAAGAGCAGTCTAAAAGATGTAAACAGTGATTAGTCATTCTTACATTTACTTTGAGCAAACAGAGTTTAATTAAACAGAAGTCTCACTGCTTCAACAGCTCTTTTCTAGGCTTTAAGAGATCAAAACTACTTGATAAGAAAAATGACCCAGAAAAAATACCTGGGTTTATTACTTCCAATTATGTTGTATGTATGCAACAGTGGTTTCAGTCTTCTTTCTGCTCCTTTATTCACATGCACAACTTACTGTAACCACTGACTAATTCTCAGCCAGAGACATGGAGTGGGAGGTAGAGGGATTCCTCAAACTCTCTGCGAATGAGGGTGGAGGAGTTGTCTAGAGGGAGAAGCCACCCCACCACATCATTATCAGTATGTGCCACAACTTGACCTTACTTGGTCAGGCTGCTAAACTAATGAAACTTTACCATATGCCAGCTAGGTAAAATACTTGTTCATGCTCTAGAATTTTAAAAATCAGCACAAAATAAGAAAAACAGGCAATAGCTACTCCTATTTTCTACTCCTGTTTATAAGAAATTTGTCTTTTAAGGGAACTCTTGAGTATCTGCTTTAGGAAACCTTATAATTTTTCCAGTAAGAGACAGAACAATGTTATCTCTAACAACAGAGCTTTACTATTTGATCAAATTAACAGACATTTAAAAATAAGCCCCTTCCCCCCAGCAGGTGTGGCTCAGTGGATGAGCACTGACTCATGAACCAGGAGGCCAGGGCACATGTAAGGTTGGGGGCTCAGTCCCCAGTAGGGGGTGTGTAGGAAGCAACCGATCAATGATTCATATTCTCTCTCTCTCTCTCTCTCTCTCTCTCTCTCTCTCTCTCTTCCTTTCCTCTCTCAGAAACCAATAAAAATATATTTTAAAAATTAGAAATAAATAAATAAATTCCCCAAGTACATGTCTATGTAAGACTTTCTTTTTTCTTTAAAAATTCAATTGAAGCTACCCAGAATTGCCGATCAACTGCAAGTGGTACTGAACACAATAACATTATCATTAGGGACAAAAATTACTTTATGAGTCTTCCTGCCGTTACCATTCAAGAGAATTTGACTATATAAAGACTCTAAAAGTACAGAAAAAAAACTTGTTACCTTCTGAGTCAGGATCTTCAAATGGATTTAATCCTGTTACATCAGGATCACCAAATGGATTTAAATTCACAGTGGCCAAATCCTTTTCTGCTTCATCCAAAAAGTTAAGTTTGTTGATAAGCTCTGAAAATAAATATATGTGTTAGTTCACTATGGTTACAGTAAAGCATAATTTCGATCATTCATGAAATTTTTGAATTATAAAAATTCACACTAATAATACCTGTAAATAATAAGACATAGCATTTTACCAGTGGCAGAATGCCATTCAAGTATTTTGTAGTATATCAACATTTTCATATGAAATAAAAGATATACATATTAATTTGAAAATTGTATCAGATAATGAACTAGAGAAACTTTCATCTGAATTTAATTTTATCTAATGAAAAAGTACTGACACATTTTTTAGTAAAACATCCTTCACTCCTAAATATAAATAATTCAAATGGGTTTAATCTAAGAAACTATTTTTTAAAAGTAAAAGTTACAATATATACAGTAGCTGAAGAAGTATGGCCGTATTACATGACCAATTATTATCTTATAAGATGTTCTAAAATCACTACCTAATGAGAATCTTGATATAAGGCTTTGCTAAAGATGGCAAGTTCTGTTATGTTGTTGCCTGTTGGTGTACTACAAATTACCAAAGAAAACATCCAAGGAAAAGCACGAAGACAAAACTGACAGCTAAGTATAGGCAGAAGTCAAGAGGTAGCAGGTCACAGTAAATAAAGGCAGTCAGAAGCAGAAAGAAAGGAAGAAAGCTCTTAGACCTTCAGAGGAACTGGCTGATTTAGCTGAAGGCATATTTGCTTGCTTTATGCAGTCATCTTGATCTTCATCTAAGCTGCTCAGAGCATTCAATTGGTTTACAATTTCTGTAAACAGAAGCCAGTCGAGACAAATGTAAGGTAAGGTCATTTAATTAAAGAGCTGTAGAAGCATGCTGTTACTCAAAAAGACAGAGAGGGGATGTTTGGTTATCAAGAGAATACATTCAGAGAATGTTATTTTGATGAACTTTAACAGAAGCATTTAACTTAAAGTTATGTTGTACCATTAAAGATAGAAAACAGTTTATTGTCAAAACTTATATTAGTAATATAAGAACTATGTTAATAAACACAAAACAAAGATAATAACCCAAGAGAATGGCAATGGCTTTCAGCAACCACATTTTGCATTTGTAAAATAGTGTTTTAAATGCATATGTTAAAAACAGAATAAAAAGTATCCTCTGCTAACACACAAAAAAATATGTATATATATAATATTATTTATAATATTACAAATTTAAACTAAAGGTTTTTAGATTACATCTACATGAATAATGAACATAATAAGCACTTATTCATGTTCTAGAGTTTAAAAATCAGCACAAAATAAGAGAAAGGCAATAGCTACTATTTTCTACTCCTTTTTCTAAGGAATTTGTCTTTTAAGGGAACTCTTGAGAATTTGTTTTAGGGAACCTTATAATTTATTCAATAAGAGACAGAACAAAAAAGACAGGGATAGGTAGAAAAATCTTAAAATAAAAATTCATATTTTATGTGAATAAAATTTTTACATGAATTACACAGACAATTATCTGTATATGAGATTATAACTCATTGGGTGAAAAAGTGCCCACTAGAGTATTCTAGTTAATTCTTGCTGTTTCCAAAGTTAAAACCTGGGAATAATTTAGGTAATTAGGACAAACCAAACAGATCCAGATCATTCAAATGGGAAAGTAAGAAAATAATTAGAAATAGAAAAAAGTTGTAAATTCAGCATTAAAAATGTTATTAACATTGTAAATCTAACTGTACATTATAAATTTTATTTGACCCAAGCAACACAATACACAGTGTAATAAGGTTGCCTTCATCCCATTTGGTAGTTGTTCAACAAATATTTATTTACCACGCTGTGTCAAGTACTATGCTTGATACACAAGGATGAAAAAAAGCAGATATGGTATTGTCCTTGTGGAATTTACCTTCTGTAAAGATAGAAATTAATATTGAAACAGACAATAAATGACTACTAGATATTAGATGGTCAGAAATATGTGTTATTTTTTAGATCTCTGAGCTAAATACATATGAAAAGTTGACCAAGTTATTTCCCTGTTGGAATGAGAACATATATTTTGCATGAATAAAATTGCTTGAGATAGTAAAAGTAAACCATAGAAAATAAGGAGTAAACACAATACCAACTAAACTCTGCATTTGGATTTGAATAAGAGATGAATAGTCAGACTCTTCTTCCATTTTATTCTGCCAATAGTTTTATTTTTTATTTTTTTAAATATATTTTATTGATTTTTTACAGAGAGGAAGGGAGAGGGATAGAGAGTTAGAAACATCGATGAGAGAGAAACATCAACCAGCTGCCTCCTGCACACTCCCACTGGGGATGTGCCTGCAACCAAGGTACATGCCCTTGACCGGAATCGAACCCGGGACCCCTCAGTCCGCAGGCCGACGCTCTATCCACTGAGCCAAAACGGTTTGGCTCTGCCAATAGTTTTAATCTCCACTCTGACTCAAACCAGCCTAGCAAATTTCTCAGTAGGTAGAATTCATTCATGTTAGATCCCCTACCTCCAACTACTAGTCACTGTCCCTACCACGTTTAGGTATAATGTGGGCATTTATTTAAATACTATTAAGGTGACTCTATTGCATTATAATTTTTAGGAAAATATAATAGAGTCAAAGATCAGTGTTAAGTGATTACCAGCACATAATTGATTTATTTCCACTCATTACTAGTTATGTATTTTAAAAATTTTGCAAATGGTTTGTCTTTAACATCGAAAATATGAAAAAATGTTAATAATAACATCTAATATTTATTGAGCAGTAGGAAGGACTTTACATATGTTATCAGAATTAATTCTCATAAATATCCTGAGGTATTCTTTGAATATCCACATTTTATCACATATGTTAGTATCATTTACATTATATCCCCAAATGTACAATTACTTAGTTAAAACATTTAAAAATAACGCCCAAAGATTTTCAGTTTATTACACATTTTTATTATTTTATATTCTTAGTTGTAATCTCAATGAAAGTAGAAATCAATAATTTATTTAAACATATTATATAATGAGCATTACAGGGAATACTGAAGAAACATTAGACTTGGTCCTTACATTCAGATCATTAACCATACCAGACCTGAGGCCCTGAACCTAACTGTCCCCTATACCTGTGGCTCCTGAGCATTAAAGAGAAAAAACCAATATGATATAGAAAAATGTTAGTTACATGCAAACAAGTGGTTAGAATAAGATGGAACTTGGAGACATTGTAGAAAATAGGTCTAGGCAAAGTACCGAAAATTAGGTACAGCAGTATAGCGGCAGATTTGGAAATTACCGAAAAATCGGTACAGCGGTCTGGTAGGGTTAATACTGTTCTATAGTTTTAGGTACAATGTGGGCATTTATTTAAATACTATTAAGATGACTCTATTACATGACTAAATTATTTACATTTTAATTTTGGGGGATGTTTAGAGTATTTCCTCATCATCATGCTTTCAGTAATATCTAAAAACAATGATAACCATTTCCTCATTAACTAATCCAAAGTAATTTCTTCTTTCCATTCACTTCACTAAGTTTTCCTTCCTATCCTAGTTTTACCTATTCATAACTTACTTAAATCCTAGAACTTCTGCTTCTAGAACTTTCATTCATATTAACAGGGGGAAGGTCATTTTAATAATCTATACCAATGTTCCCTTTATTTGGTATGCAAACAAATGTTAATCCAAATCATAACAAGAAGCAAACTCCAAAGAAATACCATTTATCTATCTAATAAACATTTATTAAGTACCTATTAAATGCCTGTAATAGTACCTGCCCTCATGGCTGTATATGTTTGAGGGACAGATAGACAAGTAAAGCAATACACAGTGTATGATAAATATGATACATGTTATGATTGAGATATGCTTCATAGGCTATGTGAAACTAGAAGAGAGACTTTGAGGTCAGGAATACCTTCTGAACTTACTCAGATGTGAGCTAAATTAGACAAACAGACATTACTATTAAAATAAAAAAGAAAATGGAGGGCACTGCAAATAAGAACATGACATATTTGTGGAACTGCAAGTTGTTTGGGGCTTAAGATGCCAGAGATGGGGAATGGAATAAAATGAGGCTGATGAATGTTCTTATGAAAGTTCTTGTGGCCAAACTAAAGAATGTAAACTTTACTTTGACAGCTCTGGGAATCCATTGAAAGATCAAATGCACATTTTAGAAACATCAGTCCAGGCTCAACATGGTGGCATCATTGAAAAAAAAAAAACAGCATAGGAAGCAAAGATAAGTAGTTCAGCATCACTACTCCATGAGGAGAGGCACACAATAAATATTGCTAACTAAAGAATAAGAAGAAACATTTGATAGTTAGTTTGACACAGGGTATGGGGAAAGGAATCAAGGATAATTTCCAGGTTTTTGTCTTGGGTGATTTTGTGAATAGTAGTTCTAGCATGGCATGGGGGCTATTCGGTTTGGCCATACCTACCTACAGGTGCCTCTCATGGAAATAATTCAATTGGCAGTTGTATATGTGGGCATAATTTTGTTATATATTTCTCCTTTTAAAAAAGTATTTTCCTGTTTCTTACAAATTTTCCACAGTCAATATTTTTCACATTTATAATCAGGGGTGAAAGTTAAATAAATGAAAAGGAGATTTACAACAAAAATTTATTCCCAGATTTTTATTTTTTTAAGTGGGAAGCTTTCCCAGTAATATACTAGCCTGACCAAAAAAAAAAAAAAAAAAAAAAAAAAAAATTCCCTGGACCAATCTATATGTATAAAAAGCTAATATGCAAAGTGTCCCCTTGGGAGTTCAACTGGGAGATCGGGAGTTTGATTGCTCACTATGATGTGTGCTGACCACCAGGGGGTGGCACAGAAGGAAGGCAGGCCCCGACTGGCAGCCGGCACCCAGGGAAGGGAGGCTCCAGCTGGCAGCTGGGGAAGGGAGGCTCCGGCCGGCAGCCGGAAGGCCCCGATTGGCCCTCATCACCGGCCAGGCTAGGGACCCTACCCGTGTTCGTATTTCATGCACTGGTCCTCTAGTATA